TGAGAGGGAGGGGGAGAAGAAGGAAATTGGAGAGGGGGGAGAAGAAGGAAATTAAAGGGGGGGGGGAGAAGGAAATTGACAGGGGAGAGATTGACATCCAACATCACACACACAATGCACACCTTGCACACAGAAAAACACACAATGCACACAGACACACATACACAAGCAATGCATCCCTTACACACAGCAACACACAATGCACCCCTTACACACACTCAATGCATCCCTTACAGACGCACACACTGCATCCCATACATACACAAACTCATCTTGCAGCCCTTACACATACAAACACAGATTCACACAATGCATTCCTTACACACATCAGGACATCCCCCACACACACACACTCCACTCCCTGTGAACAAACTCATTGGTGGAACATGAAGGTGGACCCTGGGACCCAGACCTTGAGCTGTGTAAAGGGCCCTCAAAAAAATGGAGCTGCTTCCCGTTCTCCCAGAACAGTGATTTTTGTGACCACAGTTACAAACCGCCTCCAGAGAGCCTGTTGTACACCAGACCAGTGGAGCCAGACGGCAGCTAGAGCCCATCATCATCCTCATCTGGTTGTAAGTAGGCAATCTAGTATATTATTCGTGGCACTAATCTCTAATTTACCTCACATTAAAGGGACACTATAGTCGCCAGAACCAATGCAGCTTAATGTAGTGGTTCTGGTGTCTAGCCTGTCCCTGCAGGCCTTTTAATGTAAACACGGCAGCACTGGTGTTAGTTAACATGGCAGATCATATGGGTGGGGCATTGTGATGTCCCATTGTGATGGGATTCGAGGGGGGGGGGCAGCACTTTAGGCTGACTCGGGTGCAGGCACCGGGGGGCCCAGACCTTGAGATGTGTCAGGGGCCCCAACATTTCTGATGGCAGCCCTGCTCCTCACAAAAAGGTTTCCAGTAATGTGTCTTTAAACTACACAGTCTGTGTAAATAAGATACATTGTTCTTGTTATAAATTACATTTTAGTTGCTATTAGTCTCTCCGTTTGTCTATTTGAAATATTTAGAGGTTTACAGTCCAGTTTACTGAAAATGACAACAGAATGTAATAGAAGTCTGCATTTGAGCATAATGCCCAGTGCATGTTGTGCGAAGATGTTGAATTTTCTTTAAAAATCAATTTGTCCAAGAGAATAACATGATATCTACTTTTCTGGTATGACATGTCCTGCACCACCTATAACTTTTACCTAAATTCGTAATTAACAGAGATAGTGCGTGCAAATAATAGGATGTAAGAATGTCTTGCATTATGATATAACCTATTTGTTAAATTGACACTATAGTCACCAGAACCACTACAGCTTAGTGTCTAGTGTCTATAGCATGTTCCTGCAGACTTTTCAATGTAAATGCTGCCTTTTCAGAGAAAAGGCAGTGTTTACATAACTGTCTAGTAACAACTCTAGTGACAGTCACCTACGTTCAGCATTTCCATGCTCTGCATGTAGACGTTGTATGTTCCCATAGAGATGCATTTCGAATATGCTGATTGGCTGCAATAGCCTCCCAAAGCACTCCTAAGGGAAAGCATTGGGTTAGCTGAGATTGTTGATCTCAATCATTTAGGTGGGGCCAGCCTCGGCAAGGCCAGTGAGGTGATGGAGAAAAAGAGTTAAAAAGCATTTTACTCCACTCTGAGTGGGAAGTGGAGTGCGGGGGGGAGGGGGGGAGATGAAAACAGATAATCCATGTAGTGTTTCTTTAAGAAATTATTGTGATGGATATAACAACTGTAACGGAACCGCTGGCACCCCGACCAGGTACCTTCCATTGATGGATGCTCCTAGTGCTTCCCGAGGACTCCAAGCACTCCGCCAGACACCATAACTACTGTAGACTCCCACGAACCGCCGCAGCTTGTTTGGGGTCTCGCCGTCTCCACCCACTCTAGACCCAAGACCTGGATCCAGCTTCCAGTAGGTCGACCTCTCCGAATTCCAGAGAGTAGCAACAGGAACAAGCTCTTAGCAGAGCTTAGTGATCATACCCTGGGTAGTATAGTGATTATACCCCAGAGTGTAGTTCTCCAATCCCCCAAACATGAGCCAAAACTTCATGAAGGTACAAGATGATCTGACTCCAATGAGCGTTTATTACTCCTTATATACAAGTTTTCAGGCCAGAGGCACACCCCCTGGACCTGGTGGTAAACTATGACAAAAGGGACACAAACCAATGGGAACACTAATTAACATAATAGCACTCCCACATACACAATGAAATCCCAGATAATTGGCTTAAGGCACTGTAGTAAACTCAATTATCTCCAGGTACAGAAAATATCTAGATTTTACACTAACAGCAGAAATACGTAAAAGTACATAAAAATTACATAATTCTTATTATATTACACAGAACCCCCACATTTAACCTATCCTCAGATAGCTCGGATTTGAGCGCCCAATCTAGGTGAACAGCGCTCAGATACCATGAACAGAGTACATTTGCCATGGGGTAAAACATAGCAAGGGCGATTGAGAGACCAAGGAGGGACAAAAGCAGTTAGTTCCAACTGGTTTGGCAGTGTGCCTGGGACAACGCCCTGCTGGAGAACAATAGACAGGAAATGGGGGAAGGGAAGAAACACACCTTCCCATGGATTCAAATGGGCAGAAAATGTCTTTAGAAGCCAATAAGCCCCAAATAGTCTTTTTAAATGGCAATACACCCCAGGGCCATAGTCATGAGGAAGGAGGCTGGCAATCAGGCTCCTCCAACAGCCGGGGGCAAAGGGCAGCTTGTCACCTAACAATCCAGTGACAAAAGGCATTTCGTCACAACAACTTTATCACATATAAGCAGTGTACTGGAGTTTTCTTTATAGTGGTTATTTTGGTCTAGGACTCATATCACAAGCTGTAGGGATAATTACGGGACCTAATATTACAAATAATACTTTGTAAAATTATGGAAAAGTTAGCATTGTATTAATATAAAAATATTACTAATTATTTATATGAATTTTAATATGGTGAGATCAATTATTATATGGCCACACCCACAATGATTTAAATATATACCTACTATTTTATCTCTCATCCTAAATTCTTGTACTTACACTTAAAGGAACACTATAGGGTCATGGACACAAACATGTAATCTTTCATCACAACCACCATCTAGCCCCCCTGGATACCTCTTGCCTGCCTAAATATAGTAAAATCTTACTTTTGCCCAATTCTGCAGCTGCTGGCTCTGCCCCGATCTGCCTTCTTGGCAGACATCATCAGAAATGTTGTTGTGAGCCCATCATAATGCTTTCCAATAGATTTGGCTGAGACTGTCAAGGGATAGAGCCAGCACAAGCCAAACATTGCCCTGGCCAATCAGCATCTTCTCATAGAGATATATTGAATCAATGCATCTCTATTAGGAAAGTATAGTGTTTCCATGCAGAGGGTAGAGACACTGAATGGCTGTCACACTGCGCAGCACTGCCCCAGGAAGCACCTCTAGTGGCCATCTGAGGAGTGGCCAGTGGAGGCTGTAATGTAAACACTGCATTTTCTCTGAAAATACAGTGTTAACTGCAAAAAGCCTGAAGGTAATGATTTTACTCACCAGAACAAATACAATAAGCTGTAGTTGTTCTTGTGACAATAGTGTGACATAAATTTTTATAATTCAACAAAATATAACATGCAATAACTATATTACTTAAAATAATAATTTGCTCAAGAAAGCGCATGTACAGGCCCATCTGAAGTTTGAATATTCGTAAGAGAACAGGGTGAAAGTGATGTGGTTAGATGAGACCAAAATCAAGCTCTTTGGCATCAACTCAACTCTCTGTGTTTGGAGGAGTAGGAATTCTGCCTATGACCCCAAGAACACCATCCCCACTGTCAAACATGGAGATGGATACATTATGCTTTGGGGGTGTTTTTCTGCTAATTCGACAGGACAACTCCACCGCATCAAAGGGATGATGGACGGGGCCATGTACTGTCAAATCTTGGGAGAGAACGTCCTTCCCTCAGCCAGAGCATGGGTATTTCAGCATCACAATGACCCAAAACATACAGTATAGGCAATAAAGGAGTGGCCCAAGAAGAAGCACATTAAGGTCCTCGCGTGGCCTAGCCAGTCTCCAGACCTTAATCCCATAGAAAATCTGTGGAGGGAGCTGAAGGTTCGAGTTGCCAAACGTCAGCCTCAAAACCTTAAAGACTTGGAGAGGATCTGCAAAGAGGAGTGGGACAAAATTCCTTGTGAGATGTGTGCAAACTTGGTGGCCAACTGCAACAAACATCTGACCTCTGTGATTGACAACAAGGGTTTTGCCACCAAGTACTAATTTTAAGGGGTCAAATACTTATTTCACTCATTGACATGCAAATCAATTTCTATCTTTTTTTGACATATGTTTTTCTGTTTTTTGTTTTTTTTGTTATTCTGTCTCTCACTGTTAAAATACACCTACCATTAAAATTATAGACTGATCATTTCTTTGTCAGTGGGCAAACGTTCAAAACCAGCAGGGGATCAAATACTTTTTTTTCCTCACTGCATATTAGTTTGGATGGATATTTCTCCTCCCCTCCCCCATTTTTTCTCCTCGCTCGCCTTTTTTTTATTTGTAATATTTTGCTATATTATTGTTATTATAAAAAAATTAAATTGTTCAATAAAATTATTTGAAAGAAGAGTCTGAATAATGAGCAATTTAGTTACTGACTCGTATAATTTATCACCAATGAATACAATAACTTAACATAACATATTACATTAACATTTAATAATCTTCACCATAATATGACATATCACATTGCAATATCTCCTGCAATATAGAAGCATGAACCACATGAACAGGAAAATAATCCACATTTTCTGCTTTTACAAAACATTTATTACTTGTTTAGACAATCTCTAAAAATAACCAGCTAGTTCCACAAATAGTTGCAAACTTGCAAACTAAAATAACTGTTTCCAATCTACTCAGCAACTAAACTCTCCCAGCTTGGAATTGAGGACAGAAAATATGCAAACACATTTTAAAAAAAGCATCAGATCAAAATGATACCATGTTTCTCCGAAAATAAGACATTTCTTCCGAAAATAAGCCCTAGCTTATTTTCAGGGGGAAGTTTGTAATATAAGCACTACCTCAAGAATAAGCCCTAGTCGCTTGTTACTAGTTCGCTCTTCTATGTTTGGGGAATTTTCCCCGAACATAGATACACAAGATTCCATTTGCGAGTAAACTAATCTATGTTCGAGAAAGTTTCCCTGAACATAGATTCACGGGATTCCATGCCCTAGTAAACTGGTCAATTCCCCCGAACGTAGACCTGCTTTCTACACATGCTTGCTACCGTTTACCCCCGAAATAAAACATTCCCATAAAATAAACCCTAGTGCGTTTTTCGGGGGAAAAAATAATATAAGACCTGGCTTTATTTTCAAGGGAAAATGGTAATTAGTGAGTCATGAAAGAGTGATGGTAAAGTGATCAATCCAGAATTCACGTTCAAGAGAGTAATCCATCCCTCTGTTCTCTATAACATTATGAATGTTTTTTTTTTTTTAATCTAAGGTAACACACCTATGAATTTAACAATCCCGAATCAGATTTGGTGGGTGTAACATATGATTAATAAGAATCTAGAGTTTAGAAAGTGGAAAGGACAACCTACCTATAAGGGGAATAGTCCAGCCTGGTGATGATGAGATTCCTACAAATACATAAAAAAATAAACATACAGGCAAAAATGTACAACACATCATCACTGATAAAGACACCACTAAATTCAGTGCATGATTATGGTTTTTTTTTTCATTTAGTTGTACATTTGTGCCTATATATATATATATATAAATGTAAAATACAGATAAAATGCATATCTCATAATACCTTTTTTATTGGACTAACAGATTTTTTAATGACAAACTTTCGGGAGAACCTCCCTTTCTCAAGTCTGAAGCATTTGTGAGCAAGACGACACATAGAATTAGAAGTTGAGTTGTGATGCAAGGGTTAAAGCGACATGAGTGTAGATAAGACACAGGTTTGTTAGAAAATAGACACCATTTTTGCAGAGGGTCATAAATATCTTTCTGACGAGGAGAGAGGGAAAAGAAAAACAAACAAGCAGACAGTGCACAGGATGGTACACTTTATACATGCACACACACATAAATATGTATATGTGAACGCATAAACACATGTACATATACATAAACACATATACATACATGCACATGAACTCATATACACAAATATAAACGCACAGTAATATATATAAGCATTCATGCATACGAGGATGGGGAAGCACAGGTCTACACATAGTACTTTGTATGTAGATAGAATAAACATATAGGAATGCATTTTAAAATGTTGATACATATAACAGAACAGTAAGATAATGCTGGGAGAGTGTTTGTGTAAAGTGTTGGTAGTGGGACAGGAAACCCAAATCAATATTTAGTCCTCTATTCTTGCTGTTAAAACATTTACTCATTCTAATGGAGTGTCTGTGCATATTCATTCTGCCATTTAATGGCTGGGTGGTTTCCCCAATGTAGCATCCTAGGTGGCATTTTATGCATTTAATCATGTGTGTAGGTAGTGGTTATTGTGCGGTGCGAACTAAAACAATCAAATTACATTATCCCAATTTACCCCCCAATTAAAACCAAGAGACATAAATGTGGTATAAACAGGCCACAGCTTTATTTATCATCATAAACATAAATCAATCAGCCAATATTTAATCGGAAAATATTGTCCTTGCCAACCAAACCATAATAACTCCCAGAGTACCCCCAACCAGGGTAACTGCCCTCCCCCCTCGTCCAAGATAACTGGCCTTTTAACTTGGCCTTCCAATTCCCCATGCCAACCCCTGGCCGCCTTTTACTGGCACAGGGGGCACGCCCAACTACCACAAACTCTCCGAGGTTAGGGGAGGGACCAGACCCAGCATTCCTTCTTCCGGTACTCGTTTTCCAACTGGTTTGGCAAGGACCATACCCGCCACTAGCGCCTACTGCATTTAAGCCTAAATCAGCGGGCGCGACTCCCCACTACCACCATGGCCTGCTCTAACGCGTCCTGCAGCGCAAGATTAAATAAATCCAAACCCACATCCGTGAGATGGACCCCGTCCGGGCGAAAATAGATCGCCGCTTCCCTTTCGAATATCCGGTGTCGCACTGTGACACCCCCAACCCCGAGTACGAATTTGGACACCCTCTTGTTGATCTTCACCCTGCAGCGCTCAATTGCACCCTGATCCCTCGCGCGGCGCCAATAGTTCCTAGATACTATACCTGACCAGACTAAGCAGAGCTGCGGGAAGAGGACTAGCAAGCGCGCCAAATCCCGTCTAATGAGCTCACTAAGCCCCCAAGCAGGCAGCGCCCCAAGATCGTTTCCCCCCAGATGTATCACCAATACATCAGGGGCCCCCAACAATGTAGCCAACTGTAACACCTCCGGCAAAAGCTGGCCCCAGCGCATGCCCCGAAAACCGAACCATCGGACCTCAGCCAGCTCCCGGGGAACTCCAAGTCGCGTCCCACCCGGGCGTACCCCTGCCCGCAGGTGGGCCCAGTAGATATATGAATGCCCAATCAGCCAGATCCGTCGGCCGGACCCTGCGGAGAAAACACAAGGGAGGCACCCATCAGGCGCGTGGGCCGGATATAAGAACGAAACCTCCCAGATTCCCACCTCCCAATCCTTTGAATCACTTGATCCGAAAAACCCAACCGAGAGGCTTCTGTAGCTGCCCCAATCCGGAAGGAATGACCCCCAAATTCACCACTCGGGATTCCCAGCTTGTCGAGCGCCAACCGAAATACTCTGAGGAATTGAAAGTGAGACAGGTAAGTACCATCCTCGTGCATTAACAACGGGCCCGCAAGATTCGGGCGTATGGAGCAGTAGGACTGATACGCAGCGGCTGGGCAAACAGACGAATTAGGGATGGTGCGAAGGGTAACCCAGCGACCTCTCCCAACAACGTCAGTTTTTGACCGCCGTATCAAGAAACGCACCGCACCATCCAAGAGGAACACATCATGAACAAACAAGCCCCCCGGAGTCCCCCTGCTCGGGCTGACTAGTTCCCCAATCCGGAGGGCCCCAAAAAAGGCAAAAATGAAGGCCAAACGAAATAAACTAGCTTCATAACTGGAATAACATATCTGCGGTAGTACTGAGGCAATACCTAGCAGCAGCGCCCCCGAGACCGGCCTACGTGAGTCCTGCCCACGAGGGCCCCTACGCCAACCACGCATCGCAAGCTTAATCATGAAATCCTTTGTGACATCCGGCACCTGAGTTAGGTTAAACCAGAAACTAAGACCCGAAAGCTTACCCGAAACAGTAGCCGGGGAACACCCGCAAGCCTCCCAGAACCAAAGCAAACGTAACAAACCTTGAACCCGATCCGCCGAAGAAGTGTAACCCCCGCAATCCTGTTCAAGAGCAACCCAGTCCCCCCAGGCCTTACCATACCGGACCCATGTCGCCTCAGACACCGAGGACCGTATCCATCCCTTTATTCGCTCAGGCCAAGGGACCATAGTTCTCTGGGACAAGGGAGGCCTTCCAAGTCTGCTCCCGGAGCGGCTTTCCGAAACACCTGCCATTGAAAGCGAGAAAGAGAGTCAGCCGTAATATTCATCACCCCGGGAATATGCACAGCACGGCACGTTATGTTCAGAGACAAGCATTGCAAAACCAGCTTTCGCAATAGCCTAACCACTGGAGGGGAAGAGGCCGTCAGGTTATTGATGGCCTGAACTACGCCCAGGTTATCACAGTGGAAGACGACACGCCTGTCTTTTAGCTCCGTACCCCATAGGTGGACAGCCACCAAGATGGGGAAGAGCTCCAAGAACGCCAGGTTCTTGGTAAGGCCTGAATCGCCCCAAGATACAGGCCAAGGTTCCGCACACCAATGAGACCCCAGGATAGCCCCAAAACCCGAGGAACCCGCAGCATCTGTAAACAAGTGAAGCGCTGCATTCGAAACTTCTGGCTGCTGCCAATAAGACCTCCCGTTGTAACTTTCAAGAAAAACAGCCCAGACTGCTAGATCTGCCCTGAGCGCCTTAGTTAAGCGGATGAAGTGGAAGGGCTTCGAGATTCCAGACGTGGCGGCCGCCAGACGCCTGTTAAATACTCTGCCCATAGGCATGATCCGGCAAGCAAAGTTTAGCTTGCCTAACAGGGATTGAAGGCGTCGGAGAGTGATCTTACGCAAGGAGCCCGCCTCCCGCACAGTCCCCCGTAGATCTACCAATTTGTCCACCGGGAGCCGGCATTCACCCATAACGGAATCAATCTCAATCCCAAGAAAACACAGGCACGTTGAAGGGCCCACTGTTTTGTCGGGCGCCAGCGGTACACCAAAACCAGAGGCCACATCCGCCACCGACTGCAAAATCTGTGAGCAGACTGAGGAATGCGCGGGACCAACACACAAAAAATCGTCTAAGTAGTGAAGGAGGGAGCTGTGACCAGACTCCATTCTCACCACCCATTCAAGAAAGGAGCTAAAACACTCGAAATAGAAGCAGGAGATCGCGCAGCCCATCGGGAGGCACATGTCCACATAGTAATGCCCCTCAAAGTAACAACCTAAGAGATGATGACATCCCGGGTGAACCGGCAAGAGGCAAAAAGCAGACTCAATGTCTGCTTTTGCCATGAGTGCCCCTGATCCGGCAGCTCTGACCATACAAACCGCAGCATCAAACGAGGCGTAGGAAACATGACATAATTCCGATGCAATGTCATCATTTACAGACCTCCCATGGGGATGCGATAAATGATGAATGAGCCGAAATTTACCCTTTTCTCTCTTGGGTACGACGCCTAATGGCGACACCCGGAGATCCGGGAGAGGGGATTCCCGAAAAGGGCCTGCCATGCGCCCCAAAGCCACTTCTTTGGCCAACTTGTCCCTGACCACCCCAGGGTGGTCATAGACTGAACGCAAGTTCCGGCATACATTTGACGCCGGTCGAGGTTGGTGGGAAATCCAAAAGCCAAGCGTGAAACCTTCCAGGAGTATGGTGGCCGCCTTTTTGTTTTTATAACGTTTTAACCACGGTTGCATCGCGCCTACGTCCACCGGCGTCCTCGCCTTTTGAGCCCATGGCGTCACCCTTGTCGCCAGGCCTGCCCCGCTTAAAGCATTTTGAGGCGGGGTGTGATCCGCCACACCCAGAACATTCGTGCTTGAAACGACAGCCTGCGCTGAATTTACATTGCCCTTCGTTGTACTGCCAGCAACAACCCGTTCGTCGCTGATTGGCCGACACAGCGGTCGAGGACCCTGCGCCGGCCCCCCCAAGAAAGGACGAGAGGCCCCCTTGATGTGACGCCGGGCGGGTCATGATGGCACAGGCCAATGTCCATCTGGTCCCAACTCAACGATGGGCGGACCGCTATACGTTGGCGGAACTGCTCATCATAGCGCCACCAGCCTAACCCGCCATAGGTCCGGCACGCGTTCCATATCGTATCCTGGTAGCAAA